AAAAAAAAAAAAAAAAAAGAGAGAGAGATACAGCTATGCATATGCAAGTATACACACTCTGCATTCATCTTTTTTAAGAAACCCAACTTGGTTCTATATCTTGTTTCTTTATTAATAGGTTTCAGAGGGCCTTCATCAGCAACACAAAGAGAGCAATCTTGTAAATGGCTGCATGATATTTTACTGTATGGATGTATCATAATTCATTTAACCTGTCTCTTAAATAATGGTCATTTGGTTTCCAGTAGTTTGACGTTACTTCAAATGCTGCCTTACCTATATCTGTACATATATATCGTACATATGATTAAACATCTGTAGGATATATTCCCTGGAGTGGAACAAAAATGGGTGAGCATTTTACATAATAAAAGATTTTATTAAATTGTTCTTGGTAAAAGCTTTCACTAATGTCCTCTTCTAAAAACCAGCATCATAGAGGTTGTTTTTCTACTCACAACCATCAGCTATCTGGATCTTTCAGAATGCTAGGTAAAAATGGGTACCTCATATATGGTTTTAATTTGAATCGCTCTTACTGTAAATGAATCTGAGCATTTCTCTATATTGAAGCATCTGTATTTCCTCTGCTGTGAATTTTGCCGATTCTTCTGTTGAGATTTTAGTATTTCTCATTTTAATTTATATGAGGCGTTTTTACATGAAGGAATTTAGCTCTTAGTCTCATATAAACTGCAAATATTTTTGCCCTTTAACATTTACCTTTTGCCCATGTTTTTGTTACTTCTGCTGCATGGAAATTTCATAATAATAATGTCATTCTTGGCTTCTGGCTTTGTGCCGGACTTGAAAAAGGTTGGTCCCACCCTCACAATTCTACCATTATTTTTTCAAAAACTTTTAAAGATTTTCTTTATTTAATGTTTACTGTATTTTTATAAATGCAAACAGATTTTATTTGAGTTACAGTGTAGAGCAGATAAGTGACTCACTGCTGAATATTTTTTGTATTTTTAGGATTTTCCAGGTTATCAATATGAGCGTGCAATGTGAGCTGCATAAGAGAGGCATGATGTCTACCCTGGGCACCACGGCATCCACCACAGTTATTCAGCCTCTGTGCAGAGTCAACACAATAAATAATGGTTGAAATAATCATTAATTTAATAATAAGGATACACTGCATAATAGAAATAACTTCTGTGTGCATACATATATAAGATCTTATCCCAGCTACTTTAAAACTTTTTTTTAATACACATAACATAAAATTCACAAACTCAACCATTTTTAAGTGTATAGTTCATCAGTGTCAAGTACACTCACAATGTTGTACAACCAAGCTCCAGAACTTTTTCAGAATCCTGAAAACGGAAACTCCATACCCATTAAATATCAACTTCCCATTCTCCCCTCCCCCAGTTCCTAACAACCAGTCTTTGACTACTCTAGATACCGCATATAAGTGGAATGATACATGTTTGTCTTTTTGTGACTGGCTAATTTCACTTAGCAAAATGTCCTCAAGGCTCATCCACACTGCAGCACGTGTCAGGATCTCGCTTTTTTTTGAGGCTGAACAACCTTCCATTGTATGTATATACTACATTTTTTTTGCCCATTTATTTGTCTATGAACACCCGGGTTGCTTTAAAACTTCTAAAGCTTATATTAACCTAGCTTAGCATGAAGCCTGACTTTTCTCATGTTACTGCCATTGTAGTTATACATTAACACAGCACTCGGGGGGCATTCGTTATTACAATTGTTTATTATTGTGTAAAGGCGGACCATAAACATTTTTTGAAGCATGACTAGATCTATGCTGTAACACCTACCAGGGGTATATGTTATAAAATCTGTGTGGTAATATCCACAAGGGAGATCCAGCCTGGCTTGGAAACAGAACGTGCCTTATTCCAGAGGCTGTACACCAAATTACTACAAAGGCTCTCCAGGCAAAGCGTCGTCAGTCTGCCCAGGAGTAATAACAGGAAATGGCAAGGCCTGTGGCAAGTTGAGTTGGCTCTCCTGCTTTCTAAATGTGTTCAAATTTAAAAAACAGATTAAACACACTCAAAGAAAACATCCTGCTAGTAAATGTGCAGTCAGCCAGCTTGCCACTGCCACCTACTTCCTCAGTAACCATGCTGTACAGAATATTAGTTTTGTTTCTTTTTTGCCACAATTAATGTTATTTTACGGTTATTTGTTAAGCAATCAAAAAAATTAAATGCCTAACATCAAATATCGTGAGGGCCATATACATGAAACCCTGACAAATTTACCAATGTCTTCAAAAATGTTTTAACAGGTTAAAAAAATTTTTGAAAAACTTCTCTTGCACTCCAGGAATTAATATCATCAACATTCATATATGGTTCTTAAAGGTAGCCACAGGTACAAACCACACCCAGAAGGGTTAATGAGCTTGTATTAACTTGGTTTATCGGATATTTTCATCAGCTTAAATCCTAGAGGCACATGCTACCAATTCATGGTGCCTATGATTTTAGAAATGAATAGTATAGATGATAAGAGATGCTTGAGGAACTTGCGGATTTTAGTCATATTCAGTTTTCCCACGGCTTCAGTCTTTTCAGTCAGCTCTTGCTGAAATGTATTTTCACCAGGAACATATACTTGGTAGGTTTTTACGTAGGATGATGTTTACTTTTGGTTAAACCTAATATTAATACATCATATTTTAGAGACAACAGGCATGAGTCACAGGAAAGATATTAATAATTTTATGAGAATCATTTTATATGTCATTTGTCCATGAGTGAGGCACCTCCAAAGGCCGAAACCACATCCTAAATGAAAATCAAGTAACTTTCAAAGTCACATTGAGTCGAGGGGCCTCTAAGATACCATTTCTTTATCAAAAGATCACCAATGGCTGATCATTTAAATAAATGTTTTCTCCTATCAGGTGGCTCGTCTGCTCACAGTACACTGAGCCCCATGACTGGAGGAAGCACTGTAAAGCAGAGATCCCTAAATCTACAGCTCCAAAACTTCCCCGTGCTGCTATGCCATGCATTCCACGTTCTACTGTACAAATATAAACGGGGGGCCCCAGATGAACAAATCTGGACACAACTACAGCTGAGATCTCTCTCTCTCCTTCACACCCGCTCCTGCTGTGTTCACTGTCAGAAGGCTGACCACTGCCCTCTGAGCCCCTAGGAAACAATGGCTAGTTAACACCTCTGTTCGCCAGGGGTCAGCAGATGACCTTGGTCCAACTTTGCTGGACAAATGAAGATTTAAAGCCTTTCATAGAGACAACAATGAAAAAAGGGAAAAAAAAAAACCTGATTTAAACACTTCTTTACTTTCCTCAGTATATTAAGTCAAAAATATAATGACAATATAGCTACTAATGACCCCTGAGAACCTGCATGTTCATCTTCCTTCCATAGATAACTCACTTAAAACCTAGAGTGTTTAGGGTACTGGGAAAACATGATTCAGTCATTTAAGAGCTATAAATAACTTAATTGTGTCTTACATTATGTTGGGGGAGGGACTGATGGTGTACATAATACTATTATCGCCTTCTCTAGAACTCTGTTATGTTTACCTCCTGAGTTTTCAAGCCATGTGGTCAGCGGATTTTATCCACTCCAAATTTATTCTCTTGTCACTTACAGCTACCCATCCCTGACTCCCTAGGAATCTCTTCCAAGTGGACATCCTAGATGTGTTATTTCACTTATTCACGCATATGATAGATGTTTCTTGGGCATCTAATATATTTGCCAAGCACTTTGTTGGCAACACAGTAGTAAGCAAGATTCACCAAGTCCCTGCTGTGGTGCGGATGAGAATCCAGCAAAGGTGACTGCAAATGTCCAAGAGAAATACAGATGTGCAAAGGGGTACAGAGGATGTAAACAGGGTTACTGAGCACATTCTGGAACTGACTGTAGGACAGTGTGGCTAGAACACAGTGACTACATGGAGAGTGGCTCTCCGTGACCACCACCCAGACACAAAAAGCCATTAAATAAATCTCAAATGATCAGCTAATATAGTTAGTGGCCTCATACTCAGGAAGTGAAACCAACCACTGCAGCCCTTACCCACAAATCCTCCATTATCTCTCTTTCAGCAGGTCACTAACCTGGTGTCTCTTTGCCAGTCTCAGAAATGACAATTAATTCCTCTAACTGTCCACTGAAGCCTGGCCCCTTCTATTTCCTACTGAGGTTTAGTCCCCTATGATTCTGTTTCCTACTACCATTTTGAACCTTTAGCTTTCCACTGGAGCCTTTTCTCCAGTCTTCAAGTAAGTGCTGTTCTCTCTAATTGAAACAAATATATTTTAAAGTTTTATTCTGCTTCACCCTTCTAGGACTTGCCTTACTGTTACCCTTTAAACTTCTAGAGATAGAATCAATCAAAAGAAAAAGTAAAGGCAGGAAAAAGAAGAGTGCACAACTGACTGTTTTACTGGAGGAACGTTACCCAACTAAATTAAAGGAAACTATAACAATCCTAGAGCTCTAGGACAACACACACACACACACACACACACACACACACACACACACACACATATGCATGTACAAAGAGGATGAAGGGTTATCAAGGTGGCTCCTCTAAGTAATGGAAGAGGAAAACAATAGCCAGTAAATTCTTCTGATTTAATTGTGAGATAAGGAAGCTTGCCTACGTAGACATAAAATCAGGCTCTAAGGGCAGGACCAAGGGCAGTGCAGGACTGGGATGCTCAAGACAGACTCCTCCCTTAATAGCTCAGAGGGTGATTTTTCTGTCTTTGAAACCAAGGGATATAATTACTAAATTGGCACAATTTAAGCTGTTTTCAGTGAAATATCATCTCTGTGCCATTAACATTCATCTCAAATGCCCATTAGCTATGAAAGAATAGCAATTAGTTAAGTAATGTATATTATTAATGACAATAATAACTGACCTTTCTGGAGTATTGAATATGCACTTTCACACATCATGTTACTCAATCCTCATGATAAACCTCTCAGTTAGGATTTCACCACCCCATTTTACAGATGATGAAAGTGACGTTCAGATGGTCTGAATCACACGTACTGGGTAGCAGCAGTACAGGATTCAAACTCAGGACTGCCTGACTCTACAGCCTGTGCTTCTAACCACTATATTGCCTCTTATAATTCATGCGCTGGAGCTGCAACGCTACCAAAAAGACAAAGAGACCAACATACATAACAAAGTGCATGTGTCTGCAGGTGACACACTCACACACATACATACTGATATATCAGTACATATATATATATAAACACACATGTCATAAACATCCTCTTTGGAACACCAGGTAAATTATTTTTTCATTATAAACAACTAGAGGGAAAAAAAGAAAACAATAAATTACCCTATTTCCTGATAATCACAAACATTAGAGGCAATTAGCAAGTTCCCAAACATTTTCTGAAACAAGTCAGACACACCGGCCTCCAATTGCTCAGGTACCTGGTTTTTCAAAGGCCCAAAGAAGCCTAGATTTTCGGCCATCCGCTGAGTTTGGCTGTCCTTTATCCCTTCAATAATGTCAATTTGCTCCTAATAAAAATGAATCAAATGAGCAAAATTCAGACAGTTAAATGAAAAGATTTACAACCTCAAAAGAAAATACTTAGTATTTATTTGCAAATGAGTAATTAAAGTGTGGCACCTTTCCAGAGATCTCTGAGCTGGGCCACCACAGCTGCCCATAGGGTATATTTTAATTAGCAGACCATCTATAAAACAGCCTTTCCGAAAACTATATAATTCTTCAGGGTGGCATGCTGACAAGACAATTGGCGGCCAGTTTTCACTTTTAATTACCATACAGATGGCAGTGACGAACACTTAGGCAGTTAATTTTTACGACATTTTTTGGAAGCCTTCCAAAGTAAGTTTTTCCTGCCTAATACTGCTGTTAAGTTTAGAGCTTGTCTTATACAGGTTAAATATTACCTTATGATTTAAACACTCTATTGATGATGATAATTATTAATAATACCCTAGTTCTACAAAGGGCCATTCCCTCCAAGATACTGAGTGCTGTTCATACATATTATTTCATGTATTCTCTTAACAAATGGAAATGGTTTGTTTTAAATCATGTTAATTTCAAAAATGGGTAGGCATTATTGGTAAGCCACCATGTAAAGTCTCAATTTAACTTCCAAAGTAGTTAACTTAAATATGTAAAATTGGTGAAAATATTTTAAATCCAATCTCCGAAGTATTACTACCTTATATAAATGAAGAGTTTCAAGAAATAAAATCCTTGCTTTTTGAAGGGAAAAAAATCACTTTCTAAAAGGAATAATGAATGTTTCTGCTAAAAATTTTTTTTGTGATTTCTTTTCGACACTAAGAGCTCAGAATTAAAAGCTGGGATTATAGTTCTAAAGACCTTAGGTTTTTCTTCTTGTAGTTGAGGTAGGTTGATAAGCACTTTATATACATCACCTCATTTAATCCTCACAACTCTATGGGGTGGGAATTACCCCCATTTTCATTTTACTCATTCAAAAAATGAGGCTTAGAGACACTGAGAAATGTACTGGCTAGTTAGGATTTGACTTCAGGTCTCTTTGGCTAGTAACTCATCCTAATATCAAAAACAAAACAAAACAAAAACCCACACACAAGATTTAATGAATTGAAACAAACTGATGGAATCTGGCCTTTAGAAGGATTCATTACCAGTACTGACTGAAAGACATCAAGGCAGTCTCTAGTTCACATCTGATTTCCTAGGAGAGAATTTCTGGGTCATGTATACTGTTAAATGGGGTAGAGTTAACCAAGAGGAAATGGAAATATCACAGTCATCTTCCATTGGTTAATTCTTGGGGCAAGTTGGATGGAAAGAAATGAGGGGGAAAGAAAAGGCAAGAAGGAGGAAAAAACAAAGGGAGGGGAAAAAAGCAAAGAAAAAGACCTTGAAAAGCACATACTTTGTATCTACCCAACCTTCAACTGGACACTCAGTAAGAAAAAGGACTCAATATCTTCATGCCTTAAATCCCAGGAACAGTCTACCTGGCTCAGACTCCACACTAAATCTTTAACAGGTTGTACAGCAACAATCAATAATGAACAGAGCATAGTCAGGAATCTAAACGTACCTTAAAAATAAGTTCTGGATTCGAAGCTGCCACCTCTTCAATGTCAACGCCCCCCTGAGGGCTGCCCACCAGCACAGGGCCATTGCAGGACCGGTCCATCAGAATGGCCAAGTAGGTTTCCCTAGAAATGTCCAAGGCTTCAGCAACCATCACCTACCACATTAGTGAAAAAGTCAAATTAAGTCAGCATCAAACTGATTTCCACTGGGAAATCTATACAAACTTGCTACACAAATCAAACAGCTTCATTTTCAAGGTCTTTAAACCCAGTGAGATTTGCCAGTGCTGCTCTCATGGTGCACAGGGCCCATTTTCACCTCCTTAATTGATCCTGATAACTTGTTCAAGTGACAGGTATTCGGTTTGCCTCAAGGAACCTTCCCACTTTAATCTTCTTTTTCTTCTTCCTTCGGAAACCCTGACACTTAAGAAAAACTCCAGGGAAGCAGCTGTTATTTTAATTTGAGACATTAACAGTACATATATATTACTACACTGATTTTTCTCAGATTGCACTGGTAGAAAACCAAGTTTGGTTGCCAAAGAAGGATTCTTTTTATGGTATGTCTGATGCTTCCTATGTTTGAATACTTCTGTCTCTTGGATCACTGTATTTTTATTTCAATTTATACTTTCTTTTAAATTACAAACATAATATTTGCTTGTTTGAAAATAATGCAAACGATACTAAAAGTATACAGAGGAGACAGTGAAAGCAGCTCCCTGCTGCACATACACACCCCTTGAGCCCCAGTAGTCAGAGTGATCACGAGTCCATATGGAACTTCTGTGATAATCAGAAAAAGTCATCCCTTCCTCTATGAGGATGTGGTCATATTCCAAGACCATGAATGGGCAGGAGGCAAATCAGATGGAAGGATTTCTTTCTCCACACATGTGCCAGACAGGTGTCATTTTGCTCTGCACGACCTCAACAGAGGCACGAAGCAACCCTGCCAGGAGACACCACTACTAACTTTTACCTCTTCCCTATGCGTCTGTAAGCATTAGTCATGGAATCTCCTGCACACAGATACATATCATACATGCTTGAATGCCTTTCTTTCTTCCTTTTTGTTCTTAATCTTAATACTACAACTTGGATTGTACAAGGTCTTCTCTCTTCATTGTGACTACACAGTACTTATATATCAATATTTATTTGACCATGTCCCTGATGACAATGTATGTGGACCCATGTTTCTAAAATGCTGCCTCAGTGATTATTTCTGTACATATAACTTTGCTCCATTGTTTCAGTATCCCTGTGGTCAAGGTATATAAAGGTAAAATGGCTAAGTATTATATTGTTCATATTTAAAATTTTGATAAGTACTATTAAATTTCCTTGGAGAGAGAGGCTGTAGCAACACTCCCAACAAAAATAGTAACAGATGTCTTGGATGTTTTTTAAAAGAAAATAAGAATATCCATGAAGAATCAGTACTACAAGTAAAAATAATAAAATCACATACATTGCTTTTTCTAAAAGTTCAGTAATACGTTTCACAAAAAATGTTACTGATTAAGTAACATTAGATTTTACCTACCCAGAAGCCACAAAAGCATTAATTTTTAAGTCACATGAAATGTGATAAATATATGATGACCTAGAAAGCTATAACATAATGAATACAGAACTCCTTCTTTTCACACCTTTATGGAATTTATGACTGGTCAAAAATAAAGTACCTTATAAGGGGTTTCATAATGATTCTTCTATCATAAATGGTAGCTCATGAGTTTGTAAGAAATATTTCTTGGCACACGGTGTTAGGATTTTCATAGAACCATTCTGATTTCAAGTCACTTTCTAATACAGAGCTAGTCTAGCGAGCCAGATTTAATAACTTTCAGTAGTTATTCTGACAAGCAATACAACGTTATAACGTTTTAGGATAAGTGTCATTCAAGAGTCCTATTCTTAATCTTCTAAAGTGCTGACAGATATGCCCTGCATTCCATCAAATTTCTATTTGTAAAGACCAGCTGCTGCCTCAAACAGCTCCTGCTTGGTAGAAACAACCCATCACTCTTCAAAAAAACATTCTCAGGAAAATGATGATTGTCAATAGATAATTCAAGAAATTTTTATATACAGACCAGTTTTTTGACATTAAGATGCCATTCCTATGAGCCAGGATATTAAAATACTTTAGGAATTGTTACAGAGAGAATCTAAATGGACTCCATCAACACTCATGCCATGAGAAGTTCAGTTAGATACATTTCAACAGTCTTCATCTGTGACTGACAGAAACAGTATCATCAACACAGCCTTTTCTTGGAGTTTTCCGGTATGGAAAGCTTTTAAACATACTTTACCCTATTTGACCAATGAACCTGTTTTTCATTTTTTTTGTTGTTTGTTCATTTTGTTTTGTTTTTTATATATCATGCTACTCAAATTGTAGTCTGTGGATGAGAGCCAGTGTACAAACTATGTGTAACAGGACAGCGATGAGATAGGATTAACAGTGTACGCAGTTTTTGAACTTAATCTCTTTGTGGAAACAGTAAACAGTAAGGGTACTGACTCATGGAGCACATGATGAGTAGCACTGTCTCACCTCCCCTATTACTATCCCAAGGAACACACCACAAACACAGACTTAGGGAAAAAAACCCAATGTGAATCGATGTATGTAATGTGCTTAAATAGCTTCTTGAAGAAACTCAGAAATCTAAAGTTTCTATAATCTGGGAACTTCTGACTGATGTCAAAGATTCCATAAATTAAAAATGCATGTTCCTTAAAGTTGTATATAATAATACTGTTACAAAATGTGGTAATACAGATTTTACAGAGAAAAAGGACAGAAACAAAGCATGGCAATTAAGGGGTGAGAATAGAGGGAAATTTTACTTTTCTAATTTTTATATTTCTGTATTATTGGAATTTTTTACATATGTTAATCACTTTTGCAATCAGGAAAAGAAACACTTACAAATAAATCATTCTGGTAGCTTCCTGGCAATGACTCAATTCACAAGAATGCACTTATCTCTAGTATTTCATGAACGGATCTACAAAACTAATTTTATGCATATCTATATAGTGTGAATCTTCTTTTGTGTATTTTTATATGCTTTTTAAAGGTATCACAAACTCTAATCTAAAACCCCATGTGTCCATATAAAGTAACAAATTCCTACAAACAAAACTACTAATCATATCCTCTGGGGACAAATTTTGAAGACGTTACACAGGTAAAGGCTCATAACCAGTTTAAAAAGGAAAAGAAAAGTACCACGCTGGGCTGAACAAAAATAAATTCAAAAAGCCACTTTAAGATGTAAACAGTTCTTGCATCTACCTGTGAGGCAGTGGGAAAGCGAAATAACCAGAACCAATCTTGTTTGTGGGCTTCCTCAACATTTAGAAAGGCTCTGTGTTCTTAGAGGGACAGAGCTAATGACCCTCCAGTATCTCCATCTCCCTGCAGCTCAGTGTCCTTTTCGGGACCAAGACAGACGCTCTCGTGGTAAGTCAGGCTCTGGCCTCAGCTCTGCCACTCACAATTTCATGGCTGAGGCAGGCCACTTTGCTCTCGGCTTTATTTTCTCTGTATGTGTATGTATACACGTATGTGCCCTATACACACTTGGGTGTCTCAAGAGACCTCACTAATAAAACATATTCCCAGTGAGAACAGTGGGTCAAAATGGTAACAATCTTAAAGTAAGTTATAGGGGCACACAGAAAAACAACTGTAACGCGTACAGTAATTCTGATATACTGAGGATGAGGGTGGGGCTGCGAGGGAGCAGAGAATGTCTGTCACTGAGTCTAGGAGCTGTTATGCCAAGGTCTTTTGGCTTTAAACAGAATCGTGCCTGTGTTCTGAAAGAAAAAGGTATTATTTCAATCACTACCCATTTTTACTAAATGCTGATGACAATAAACACTATTACTACTTTAGAATCCTTTTCACTTCTCCTTGAAGTTACATCACACGCAGAATTAACTATGTGAGGTTTAAAAAATAAAATGGCACGTTACCAAAGTGCACTGCTTCATTTGATACTGTCAAAATTGAAGTATGGCTTTATTTTCTTTTTTTTTAACACATACACAGAAAATGACCAAAAGCATTCACATTACCTTGTTAACTTTCACACCTTCTTTTGGAGTTTGTTTTGTTGCTAGATTATACCCAATCATCTGTTTAGCCAGCTGTCCCACAACTTTAGGACTGAGAGAGAGGAGAAAAAAGAGAGAGAGAGAAGAAAGAAAAGAAAGTCAAGGTCTCTGTTGAAAATCATTTTAAAGCAGAGTCTGTATTATATCCCCAAGTCCACTGTGCCCAGGGCCCACGTCCACCTTCATAGAATCCATGGTGCTTTCTGCTCATACACTAGGTGCCTAGCACTGTACCAGAGGCTCACTGAGTGCAAAATATATATGAATGAATGAATGAATGAAACAATAGGAGGGAAGTGGGGGAGGGGAAGGGAAGGGAGGGAAGGGAAACAAAAAGAAGCTTGCTTACATTTGCTATCCTCTCCCCCCAAATAAGTTACAGTCATAGTAGAGACACAATGTTGAAATGCATAGCAGACTAAGATAAGAGCTGAATAACAAATACTGGATAGTGGGCAATCTGGGAAGTAAGACCAAAGATGGGGATAAAGGGAAAGGGAAGGATCAAAGTAAACCATGAAAGGTATGTGACAGGAGAGGAGAGGAAAGTGTTCAGTGTGTGGAGACATAGGATATAAAGCTGATCAGACAGGTTCAGATAAAAGAAGAATTAGACTATCAGACAGGAGGGACCAATGATGCCATTGGTAATGGGAAGCCACCGCAGGTTCTTGAGTAGGAGACTGGCATTACAGAAGCAGCATTTAATTTGTAAGTGGTACCATATCAAACATGATGAACCACTGATTGTCTAGAACAGGAGCGTCAAGTTTCCACCAATTAGTGAACAAAAATCCTTTTGTGGGAGGAGAAGGGAAGCTAAGGCACTGCCAGAGCCCTCGACCTGTAATTTACTTCCTTTATGTGCCACCTCCTGCTCCTAGTCCCACCCCAGCCCTCTTTCTCGGTGCTACTTTCAGTCATGAGCAGGATCTTCCATAACTGCTTGGCCCAAAGACAAGGAATTAAAACCTCCTGGCTTACTCTTTCGTTAAATGAACGCCTCCTTTCAAACCGCTACTGAAGACACCTTTTCCTCTTCCTCCAGCTAAGATCTGGGCTTTTAAAACAATTTCTTTTGCATCTGCAAAAGAAAATCCAGAGTTAGTAGTTGATTTACAATTCTTTTTTTTTAAGCAACAAGCGAAGTGGTAATGACATAACTTCCAAAAGTGACTGGTAAAAGCTCTCTCAAACCGACTTTGAAAATGAAGGCAATAAAGAACTTCAAAAAACATCAATGTGCCTAAATACAAAGTCTGTTTATTAAGGACATTCAAATATTTCCTGCGAGTTTAATCTAATACTCAACCATCCCAAGGGAGAGCAAGGCATGTGTTCCCTGGCTCTTCTGAGTGTCAGAAGATGCTAAATAAATCCAGGCTGGAAGTATTAATTTTACTGTGTAAACACACTTCCATGTGGCAGAGACACCAATCTGCCAATCAGAGGAGTTAACTACCTGTCAGCCATCTGAGATGTCAAAGGGAAGGCTGGTTTACGTGGGGGAAAGGTTTATTAAAGACAAGATGCAAAGGGAGTATTGAAGAACTGTATTCTTGGAAATCAACGGTTTTCTGAGCAGTTGTTCTATGTATCAGTGGGGCTGGGCAAGGGAGGAGGAAATGGATTAAAACTAAAAGTAAGCAGTATTTTTTCAATGTTGGCAGAGTAACAGAACATCCCAGAGGAAAGTGGTTGTGGAATCTTTGTTTCTCAAAACACTCAAGGAAAGGGTGAGCTGTTTGCTCTTGACCTTTGAGACCAAAGTTATAAACTCAAATATCTTTACAGGGCTGGTGGGAAAGCTGGATGTGTGAAGCAGCCCAGTGATAGAGAAGGCGCTCTCAGCCAACAGGAATGCTCCCCGACCCAACCAACAAAAAGAAAAATAAGTCAGCCCCCAAATCAAATGCATTTAATAAATCAAAGAGTACACATCTTCAGGCCACAACTTGGCATTCTCTGTTTGTGATCAAGTTTTGTTTGAAATTAGAGAATTAAGTCAGACAATCTCCGATACGGCTCTAACGGTTTTCTGGTTCAGCACACCAGGTTTAGAATCACAGACCCAGGTTTTAATCAAGGCTTCATCCCTTGCCCAGCTGTGTGATACTGGGCAAGTTACTTAATGTCTCTAAGACTCAGTTTACTCAATTATGAAACAATGTTGAGGGTTGTTTTAAGAATTAAATTAGAAAATATATGCAAATCCTAAAAACTCACTAATGAAAGAGTATTGCCACGATCAGTTACTACATTTATTACCTTTCTATATTGTGAGGAACCAAAAGGTTGAGATGGTAAAAATTGTCGGAATCTGCAACCACTCATGTAAGGTCCACAATTGTTGGTTATTTCAACTATTACGACCATCATTGTTGTTACTCGTAGGCCATCATTGTTGTTACTCGTAGGCAAGCAGGCAACGGTTCAAAGAAAAGGAGCCATAGGTTTTATCATGAAGGCAATGGGGTGCTACGGAAGGATGTGACACTATGAAGGCACTGGGTAAGGTAGTCACTCTAGCTGATATTATCAGATTATTAAGGCTCATTGTCTTATTGGTTGGTCTTCCCTCCTATATCTGCGCACACTCAGAAAACCAGGGTTTACCTTCTCTCAGAAGTATACATAGTTCCTTCTTTGCTGCCCTCTATAACCTCTGACAATAGTTTCTGCCCAGGGTATGAACCATAACAACATCAGTCAAACGATGTCTTAAAATAAACTAGTTCCCATCATATTGAGTAGAAGACAAGCTATGGTGACCACTCATTATCAGAAACTCACCAGGAATGGAACCAAATAAAATGAATTTATTGCATATTTAGGCTATTGCATGTAGGAGTAGTATTAAGATCAAGGACTTTGAAGAAAAACAGACTTAGTTAAAATCTCCAACTCTGCCTATCCCTTTATTTATAAAGAGGAGAATGAGATTCAGAAAGGTAAAAGTAACACGTCCATCTATAAAATAGTCAAAACAAAAATAATCTATAGTGTTAGAATGATGTGAAGAATAAATGAAAATAGTAGGTAAAGTACTCATCTCAAAGTTTGGCACATTAAAAAAAAGAGTCAAAATATGATAGCCATCATCGTTATAATTATTTTCAGCAATGAAGCAAAAAAGTAGAATACAGAAAGACATTTCCAATTTCTCTTTTGAAGACATCAAGTAGAAAAACACTTTTTGCTGTCTACTTAAGTTTTTAATGGTGATCTCTTCAAATTCTTTAAAAAGGATAACTAGCATTCCATTGCCAATATCATTTTTCATATCCTCGTCATCCAGAAAAAGAGATGCTTTCCTCTCCAAGCTTTCCAACAGCAAAACTTGAAAGTCATGCAGACTACCTAAATGGGCAATGTTAACTGGTGTTACACAGGTTTGACTAGATAAGCTTTAGGCACTAACCATCAAGACACAGAAACAGTTGTAGGCTCAATGAAGTGTTTTCAGTTATTCATATCACCACCGATCACGTATTAAAGGATTCCAACCTGGTCTACAGTTGGTAGACCAAGCAACCACGTTGGAGACTGTAAAGCCACACACTGGGGCAAATAGAAAAAGGGAAAGAAAAAGATTATATCAAATCTAGGTACATCTTCTGCAGCTTACACCCCAGGCCAAAAAGAAGTTCACTACAATCATCTCTTCCGCTTAGATCTCAAACACTAAATCAGTACAGCAGGTCAGTAGCCCAAAGTAAAATAAGTTTGTCTCATGTTGAGGGAAACTCACATAAAGTAATTTAACTCATGTGGCTATTTACTCAAAGTGTTAAAAATTAAGTGGCCAAATCCTTCTGAACGGTAACTCGTTTTTTCATTCAGTATTTACCAAGTGGATTCACACTTAATGTCACTGTTTCCATTTTATTTAAAGATCTGATTTCTCCAAAAACTTGTACAAATTTCTGTTTGTTTTTTTAACGTTACCTCTCTGTTCCCAAACAGAACTACAAAAGAATATCCATACGGGAAATTCCATATTTGCATGAATACACAGATGAGTTAACTGTGTTTTAGGATATAAAGCTAAAAAGAGACGGTGGGGAGGACTCTCCTCCAGTAATTTTGTACAGAAATGGATGTACAGAAATGGACTGCATCTATACATTCATAACCATATTACTGGTATAACCCAGGTCTGTATAACTCCAAATTCCCTGCTCTTAACTGGTACGTTTACATGCAGCAGCCTAAACATGCAATACATTCACTTTATTCTCTTCCTTTACTGGTGAGTTTCTGATAATAAGCAGTGCTCATGGACAGAATTCTATTGGGTTTGATGCAAACCAGTTTACTATGATTCATATATATTTTAGGAGAAAAAAGCACTATAGAGACATATTTGATAAACTTAATAGATACGTAAGACTTTCAAATACCATTATCACTTAAGAGAACAAACTTTATAGCCATTAAGAAAGCCTAAAAAAACCCCTCTGAGGCATGGTCTTATTTCACCTCTATTAGCTGCATTAAAATAATGCTTTCTCGGGCTTCCCTGGTGGCGCAGTGGTTGAGAGTCCGCCTGCCGATGCAGGGGACACGGGTTCGTGCCCCGGTCTGGGAAGATCCCACATGCTGCGGAGCAACTAAGCCCGTGAGCCACAACTACTGAGTCTGCACTCTAAAGCCCATGAGCCACAACTCCTAAAGCCCCAACACCTAGAGCCCATGCTCTGCAACAAGAGAAGCCACCGCCATAAGAAGCCCACGCACCGCAACGAAGAGTAGCCCCCACTCAGCGCAACTAGAGAAAGCCCATACGCAGCAACGAAGACCCACCGCAGCCAAAAATAAATAAATTTATTTATTTTAAAAAATGTCTAATACTTTAAGACTGCAACCACAGGACATTAAACAAATCTTCTGCAAATGAAGCCACTTGATAAAAAGAATTTTTCAGAACAAGTTTCTTCAAAAGAAGAAATTTCCAGAAATCTCTACTGTTTTATGTATAGTAGGGATTAATGATATACATTACTAATAATAACATCTGTAACATTTGTAACTTCAACATATCCTGGAAACAGTCACAGATGATGAAAAGCATTTATGAACATCAATAGCATTTCTACAGTATTTTGTGGTATGTTTGAAGGAAAAGAATGATAAAGGAAAACTAGATATTAAAAATTCATTTTTTCGGGCTTCCCTGGTGGTGCAGTGGTTGCGAGTCTGCCTGCCGATGCAGGGGACACGGGTTCGTGCCCCGGTCTGGGAAGGTCCCACATGCCGCGGAGCGGCTGGGCTCGTGAGCCATGGCCGGTGAGCCTGCGCGTCCGGAGCCTGTGCTCCACAATGGGAGAGGCCACAGCAGTGAGAGGCCCGCGTACCGCAAGAAAAAAAAAAAAAAAAAAAGAAATTCATTTTTTCCCCTGATTTTTAAGGCAAAGATGTGTTCAGTCAGGGCTCAATGAGGGAAGCAGAACCACTGTGAGTTATGGATAAGGGATTTATTACAGGAATTAAAGCTGAATTTGTAGGAGATGCTGAGAAAGGAAAGGTGTGAAAGTAGAGGCTGGAGGATCAGGAGTCACCAAGCAGCCAATGAGAGGAGTCACCAACTAGCATATGCAGGATCTGTGAAGAAGGGTATGGGACTTGTTGCCACGCATCTCATGATGGCTTTGTGTCCATGTTGATCAGCAAGGTCAGCAGTTGGGAAAACAGTTAGACATGGAGCTCAAAGGAACAAAGACAAGTTGGACCCTCTTGCCAGCATGTCTACATCTACCCATCACTGCATCACAAAGTAATGGCTGCATTTCAAGTTCTGTGCAAATTCCAAATCTGGGCAACTCTAACCTGATATATACAAGGAAGGGGATTCTTAGAAACGGAGTTTCACCTTAACCAAGCTGACACAGTATAAATTACCACAGATGATAATAAAGGAATCAGAAGGCAAAGCCCATAACTGTTGCAGGTTAACAGAATTAATATTTTTTTACATTTTTATGAGCGGCTTGAGAACCTACCCTGGGCCAGGGTATATCCCTCCTTCAGTAGCAGACAATTGGAAGCTACATGATCATACAGAAATATAAGGGGATCTCTTGT